CGGTCTACACTACTCATGGTTTTGTATATTATTGTCCATTTTGTTCGAGATGTTTTGGTAAAAATTGCAATTTAATTCATTATAAATCATGTGTATATTATAGTCAACCTAAGTTGAAAGTGTTTGAATAAGACTTTTTAGCAAGAAAACAACTCTACATTAAAGAAGCTCAGAAATCGATTGATAACTATTTAAATGAAACGATACATTCTCAACCCAGAAAAACTGTTATTAAGAGTACTCTTGTTTTAGAAAAAAAACACATTAATAAATACTTTGAGCACTGCGGTGAATCAAACGTTTGATAAATGTGAATTTATAAGTGTTGATGAGTTTAACAAAATGACTGAAATTGATTGTGATTGTGAAACAAAAGATGAAAGTGAAAAGGAGGGCAATCCACAAATTGAAAAAATGATTAATAATAAAATCATCTCAATGTTTAATAATAACGAAGTATAATCTGGAATGGATTGTGTCATCAACACTCAATGTCAAACAAAAATGGATGTACCAAACATTAACAACACAATTTCAATGGAATGTGAAGAATCTTTAAAAAATGAAACTATTAAAAAAGAAGACGAAATGTTTAACGACAATGGTGATGTAAATAAAAATTTACATGTTACAAAAACACAAGAGTTGTATAACAAATTAACAAGAGAAATGACCAAATTATTGTCATCAAATATGAAAGCTTTGGATATATCCAAGAAATTAGTCAGTATTTTTATTGATCAAACACCAAAAACAATAAAAGAACAATCTTCAGTTATCAACATCAAAAGTAAGATATTTACTTTAATTGTCAGCACACTGGAAAACAGTGTTGGGATGTCTCAAAGTCAGAATCATGTTGTTGCTGAAATAGTAGATGTATTCATATATCTATTTTTGGACGAAAAAAAGTCAATTGGAACTATCATCTCGAATTCATATTAGTCATAGAACTAATCTAAAAGTGATTTCGCTGTTAGGAAAAGAGGACAAAGAGGATATCATCCAATTATTTCAGAGGTGTGTGTTATGGAATCGCAATAGACTCAACACATAAAAATGGAAAGGAGATCATCGGACTTGTGTGTTGATTCAGTTTAGACAATTTTGTGATTGTAGAGAAAAAGTTGGTATTGGGTGAATTGTTTGAAAAAAACAACTGCGGCAAACATTTCAAAGTGGGTTCTTAATGCACTTGATTCGTTTAATGCTCCACTTTTAAAGTGCGTTTTTGTACTTGTGATGGGTGCAATCAAATGTTAGGATGGAAAGGTGGAGTGGCAACTCTAATAGGATTAGCAAAAAGAAAAAAGTGAAAGAGAGTTTTGGGGATGTAATCACAGAGTCATCAGACAGTTTGGTCTCAACTACTTTTATGTCACATTATTGCCTCTGTCACCGTCTTAATGTCGCCGAAGATTTTTTATGGAATACAAATGATGGAAATGTATTATTAGAGATTTTATAAATTATAAGTAATGATGTGACCATTACACAATGGAATATGTATTGGGGTGTTCGTGGGAAAGAAAAAGACCATTTACATATACCAACATTGAGTAATACTCGTTGGTTTTACCACGAATTGATAGTGGAAAAGATGATAAACAATTTTAGAGACTTTGATGTATTTTTTAAAGAACTGGGAATTGACAAAAAGATTAATAATATACTAATCGAACAGTACAAAACAAGTCAATTAATGAGTAACAACAAAAATGTTATTGAAGATGTAAATTACTATGAATTTTTAGGAAGAAAAATATACTTTTTCGATGTAAAATACCCTCTGTTTTGGGGATTTTTGGTCTTTTTTATGATATTCTTAAAATTTCAAAAAATTGTTGTGACAAAATGCAGCAAAAATTTTGGGTTAATTAACGAAGAATATCTTTGTGTTATTTATTTGATTACAAATCTCAACGAAAGAATAACAGATATAACGAATGGAGTTTTTTCGTCTTTCGAGCCATTTAATAGATTCTTGTCATTCAAAGCTCCAGACACCTTTGTTACATCTTGTCGAACTATACTTCTTAAATTTGTCAATGAGCTGAACATCAGATTCTGCAATTCAACGTGTGTTAAATTTAAGGCTGATCCTTGCAAATTATCTTCAGTAAAAATTGAGTTGGACAAATACCAAGATTTTAACAAACACTTGGAATATTATAACTTTCCAGAAAATAATACAAAAATGGTATTATAACATTTAAAAATCCAATTAAATATTTAGATACAGAAATTACCGAGTTGAAAGCTTTTATTGATATACACAAAAAGAAAGTTGACAAATTTATTATTAAAAATACACAGGAGAATATGTGCAAGTTTTGCCTCCTTGATGCATTACAATTATTTGGTAACAAACATTTTCCCAATTTGTCTAAACTGGTTTTTCTAATTGTTAGTCTGATACCAACATCTTCTGCAGTTGAATCATTGTTTTAGTTTTATCGTTATGCAAGCAGTGCTAATATGGATGTAAAAACAATAGATGTTAGATTATCAGTTAAATTTTTAAAAATGACACAACAAAGGCGTTCTTATATGCAACTGTGGTTTTTATATTATTATTTTAGTTTTAGTTTTATTAAAAAGTTTGATAAATACAAATATAACATTATTATTAAAAACCAATATCAAAAATGTTATTGTTTTTGAGTTTCAATAAAAAACGTGTTTCATAACTCGCCCTTTATCCAAATTTGATGAACCCTGATTTAAGGATAAAATAATTCTCTATAAACAATTAAATAACGATACTTGTGTTTCTGAAAAACACGAATAGTGCAATTTGATATAGAAAGTTATAAATTTAAATATTAATTCATGTTAAAATATTTTTAAGTCATTATTTCAATAATTACAAAAAGATGACAAGAGCAAAAATAACACTCAAACGATAGTGTGCTAAATTATGCTGTCACAATAATAATACAGATAGAGGAAAAACCGGGGACCAACTATGAATAAACACACTGTTTTCAGATAAAATAGAAAAAACTATAAAATATGAAACTCTTAATTAATCATTTGAAGCTGTTTCGTTTGTTAATACCCGTCCGAGCCAGAGTTAAGTGTGTTCTTTATATTGATTTGTATTCCGTTGTCTAATACGTTCAATAATCATCAATCATTTGATTTATGTCTAATGTTCCGTTCACTTTTTAACTTCTAATTTATAATTAAAATTTTTTTTAATTGTATTATTTTTTTAGTCAAACATTTTTTAGTGCTATCGTATTTAAAAATTGTTGATATTTAAAAGACTGATAAATCCACAACTTGTTCAATATTGCATTCATTGTTTTTGGTTGAAGTGTCTTACCATCTAAAAAATCAAAAATAAAAACAAAAAATATGTTCAAATTATCAAGAAAATTTTAGTTTAAAATTTCCATAAAGCAACCAGATTAAAGGTGAAAACTAAATCAAAGAAATGACTCGGTAATAATGTTTGTAATTAAAAGAAAAATAAATACAGTAAAAAGTGTCTTTTTGTGGGTTTTTATATTTGTGGATCAATAGAATAATCAAATGCAAAACCCACAAATAATTATTTTGATCGAGAACCTTGAATTTAACTACACTGAGATAAATAATATAGTTTTATTATAATTAAAAAACTACTATATTTTCTATAACACTGTTTTTTGTAAAAAAAATCAGAGGTTTCTAAAATCCCAATCCTAATTACCCACGTCACCATTTTATTACCAAAATGTTCATTTTCTCTATAAATTCGTACGTTATAATACCACATTTTCGGCAATAATTATTTTGGAAACCTCTGAAAAAAATGGTGAATAGAATTTACTTCACAATTCCATGATAAACCCACAAATATACGTTTTTTCTCTGTTTAAAAACCCACAAATAAACAATTTTTATTGTATAATATTTAAATATAAAATATATTCAATTAAATTAATATAATTAATATCATTATAAATATATATACGATTATTTAAAAATATATATGAATATAACAA